GTTAAGTCAGAACATTATTACAGTATTAATTAGGATTGAGAGTTGCACGTTTTTCATCTAAAAATCTCAAAACTATAGTTTCTATAGAAACTTCAAGCTTCAAATTGCTTTTTTACGACCATTTTTAACGAAAAATCGCAAAAAATTTGAAATTTTTTTTATCCTTTAATTTTTTATATTAGTGTAGAAGTTTTACATTGCTATTGCTTTCTTATGTGGAAACTACCAAATAATCAGATTTTTTAGTCTTGGTCAAAATTTTCAATAATGAAAAACGTATTCTATAGTAAATTTTCAAAATTTTGAAAATTTACTCCATTTTTTAAAATGGATGTTATTTATTGAGAGAATATGCTTTATTGTAGCAGATTTGAAAAAAAAACAAAAAAACGTTTTATTTATAGTTTTTATTTTCATGTTTTTTTCCACATCTGAAAAAAACCGTTTTTTACATCTCTAATAAAGATAGAAATGTTGTACATAGAGATTCTCTATGTACAACATTTCTTTATATTTTGATGATTTCAGAATGGTATGTTATTTAATCGTGTGTATGTTATTTTTGTGTTCATTTCTGTAGGTATGTGTTAATTTTTTTGTTTAGGAAATTGGTTAATAAAGCAAAATTCTTTTCATTTAAGTTCCCAATTTCCAACATGTTACTTAGTCCGTAAAAATAGTTTGTAAAAATAAGGTCCTTTTTTAAAATTACAAGAATTATCTTTGAAATATTGACAGGATTTTGTTATTAAATCTACAAAATGTTTGTAACAGATTACTTAACATAAAGTTATATGGTCCTGTATTAACATAAAATCTGGTTAAAATTATATTTTTTACTGTGTAATCAAAAAATGCGTTGATTTGTACTTTTAATGGTGACTATATTTTGTTGAAGGGATGGGACACCACCAGGTTGCAATTAAAAACCATATAGAGATGAAAATCTTTTTTCTGAGAAAATTAGATCATGCTGCTTCATATCAACAATTTAAAAAGGAAGCAATTATACATTATTAAAACTGTTTACTTGTAAATAAAGTGACATTATTCTTTGTAGGTTTACTGAAATGACCCTGACAAAGTTAAAAACCAAGGCAGAATATCAAACACTTTAGCAAAACCTTCGATTAAAATAAAATACGTTTTGATGTTACCTCCCATTGTTGTAATCTAGATCTGGTGTAAATGTTAAAAAACCCCGGGATATTAATGAATATTGTTAAAAACTTAATTAATTGTGCTGAATTATGCTGAATCATCCACAAAAAAATTAATTTAACTCACAAGGCTACGCATTGTTGGACATGATATAATTTAATTGTTTATATGAACGATTTTTGTGCTTATTGTTTGAGCTCCTTTTCATTTACTGATGTATAGGTGACGTCAGAAAAAACGTCAAACCAGTTTAAGACCACGAAATTTGAATATTTAAATTTATCTTTTGTCCGCTCCATACAAATTTTGAATTGCTAATTATTCGGAATGACCGTATACGTTTGTCAAAACAGTGCCTTTCGAAAAAAGCATCGTTAATTTTTATAAATGTTTTGTTTAGCGGACCAGAGAGTTATTGATGGTTGACAGACAACGTCTTTTAAACTTTTCCAACAAACTTGATTCGATGCTTTTTGCTGTCTTGACCCTACAGGAAAAAACTCGCTAAATTTGGCTTTATGTGTATCAGCTTCGCGTTTTTAAGTTTTTACCGCTCACAGTAGCCGTCTATAATTGAATTTATCACAGCTAGAATATATATATTTTTTGTTGCGGCCGAATATTTAATCATCTTCGTTTTGGTTTATTTGCTTACCCCATGTCAGGTAGATTTTGTCATATGTCCGGTTTTATATACAACTTTAGCTACTACTACTAAGACTTGAAAAAAGCTACCAAAAGTCCACCAACAGCGGTTGACGCAAAAATTTGATTAGTTATTTTATAGATTTAACTAAATGTCCTAGCGAAAAAGCAGTAAAAAATAATTAGTCAAATTACCAAATGAAATAGTCAAATTAGTAGATTTAAATTTAAAAAAAGTTTTGGACCAGCCGGGATTTGAACTCGGGTCTGTCGCTTGTCAAGCGGATGTCTAACCGCTGAGTTCTAAAAAATAACTGTTTAAAAATGAATATTGTAGATAAATTAATGGACAATCGCTCACATTTTAAAAAATAGACATACGTTTATAATATACAGGTTTAAACAAAAATATGTTTTTTACCATAAGTTTAAGACCCTCTGTAGAGTGGCAAAACCGTCTAATGTTCTATCAAGTCACATCTATTCTTAACAGTTTTGTTTTTGGTTCACCTCAATATATTTATTTTTGTGGAAAATATGGATTTTTAAAAAAACATTGCAATTTCCAATATTTTTCTGTATGAAAACTAGGGTTGCTATGGTCCATCCATAGGCTATGGAGAATGACAGTGACAGTTTTGTTGAATCATCCCATACTTGGACATGTCATACACGGCTTTCAAAAGCTATCAAATTGTTTTTTGCAAATTAATGTTTAAATTTTGAGGTGTCTTCCTACTTTAGAAATGGATATGTCTCCGACTGATGTTGCCAGAGCCATTAATTTAATCCAGGATGGACGGTCACAGTATTACGTGGCAAGTGTTTTAAACGTCACAAGAAGTAAAGTACAAAGGGCAACATCAGTCGGAGACATTTTTAAAAGTAAGAAGACACATCAAAATTAACACATTAATTTACAAAAAATTATTTGATAGCTTTTGAAAGCTGTATATGACATGTCCAAGTATGGGATGATTCAACAAAACTGTCACTGTCATCCTCCATAGGCTATGGATGGACCATAGCAACCTTAGTTCTTCATACAGAAAAAAATATTGGAAATTGCAATGTTTTTTTAAAAAAATCCATATTTTTCACAAAAATAAATATATCAAGGTGAACCAAAAACCAAACTGTTAAAAATAGATGTGACTTGATAATTAAAACTTAATTTAGAACAATATACAGTTTTGCCACTCTACAGAGTGTCTTAAACTTAAGTTAAAAAACATATTTTTGTTTAAACCTGTATATTATAAACGTACGTGTATTTTTTTAGTAATTTTTAAAATGTAATCGATTCTGCATTAATGTATCTACAATATTCTTTAATATTTGTTTAAATCCGAAATCAAATAAAAAAGTTATTTGCGATTGAAATTCATCGAAAATTTGTGTGGATCGATTATTTTGCCTGTGAGTGTAGTAGAATTTTGACTATTTCATTTTAAAGACGTTCTGAGGAATAGTCTGATTTCAACAATTGGTTAATAATAGTGTAGTTATATATAGTGAATTATTGTTCCGCAAACATTTATATATAATAGAAACGGTTATTTTGAATTGCAAATATTAGTTCCAATGGATGATGCCGCATATAAAATAATATAATTTAAATGTGCCCGTTATGAGCGAAATGTTGTATTATTCGAATCAGTGAAGATAAATTTAAATAATTCCGTAGAAAAAGATTTATTAGCCTATAAAATTATATAAAACACGTTCAACAAATGGCAAATCATTTTGTCTGTCTTTTTAACGATAAAATAATAATAATAAAAATATATTAAAACCTTGAACCCATAAATAATTAGTTTTTTACTCACCTAACAATTTTTATGTGTAATTAATTCTCGAATGAAAATTATTTTTTTAATTAAATAAATTTTTATCAAAACTTGTTTTGGATTAAAAATTTAAATTAAGTGATAACCTACATACTTACTGTTTTTCATAAATTGGTTTTAAAAAAACTTATTAAAAAACAAAATAAAAATAATAATTATTAAAATATTTTATTAAAATAATTTATTTTACAAAACTATTTATTTAAAAATATAACTTATTATTTAATTAAAAGTCTATTAGGAACTTACAAATAAAATATATGCAGCTATTTATGTACATTATGTACACAAAATTTTGAACAATTTATATTTAAATATCACAATAGAAAAATTCATTCTCAGACGTTTGTTCAATGTTTCCAAACAAACAAAAATTTTGGAAGAAACATTTTTAGGAAATACATTACATCGTGTTTTTTTGTAAATTTGTCATTATCGGGCATTCTCGGGCAAAATACTGGCATTTATAGGCAGTCCAGCGGATCTCTCTGATATCACATTGGTTAAGCCACTCCTTGTACCTCATACCTCTGTGCCGGTCTGTCAAATTACGAAAAAATTTCGCCTGAAATAAAATTATAAAATAACAAAAAAGAAAATTAAAAAAAAACTAAAAACTAAAAATTTTGACATCCTCGGACGATTGTTATTGAGTAACAAACGTCCACTGGATTAAATAAAAATAATAATAATAAAATAAATAATAAGTAAATAATAAAAATAGCCCGGGACAGAAGTTTGAAGTCACAAGTTGTGATAAATATAAACGGTCCCGAAACAGAACCTTGCGGCGTACAGTATAAAATTCCAATTAAAAAATGAATCGAAACAGACAGGCGTGCGTTTCGAGAAATGAATGGAATTCTTGAAAATAAAAGTAGCATCTGTTGTAATTCAAAGTGTAATAAAATACAAAGTGTATATGCTTTGTTTGACCGTATCAAAAATTAATCGTTTCAATATAGTCGCTCTTCCAGACATTAAAGAGTACTAAAGTAAAGTTTAAAGTTATTATTATTTATATTAACGCGACGGGTTGTGAGTTTTTACGGTCGCTCGCTTCTAATACCCAACACCTGAGCTGGTTTAAAGCGCGACACCTCTGAATATTCCTATGGTCTACCGTACACATATGTACGTATAACTATACTGTAATTTATAACCCTGCTTTGCTCTGCGTTCGCTCCCATTTTTGTTTAATGCGTAGCATTCCAAACTTAACTATTGAAAAAACTTCTTAGAAATTGTAACAAAAATAATAAATGTATCTCGAAATCTTTAAACAATGGCCTTTTCGGAGCCTTGAACCGAGCTTAAGAATCTATGTTGTTTTGTGTATTCGTGTCAAACAATACAGCTGTTTATACTATCGGTAATGATAAGGCGATGCTTCAGGTAGAAAAGGGACATTTCGGCATTTGCCGATTTCGGAAACACCTGGACCAGGCTTAAAAAACAACAATGAATGACGAATGAGAAAAAGTACAAATGTTGCACGGTACGTTGCTAATGAAACGAAATTAAAAGTTTTCGAAGATGAGACGAAGCGATGTAGCGCGTTATAAATATGATTCTGGAGGTACGTTGAATGCCTGTTCTAAGTTTATAATCGACCGTAACTGCAAGACTAGTGCCCGGCCAATGGAGAAGCGTAATACGGTAGCTATAGAAACGAGTAGACTTGTTTGTCTTATTGTAAAAGTAGAATGAATCTCCGAGCTCCGCCCATATTAACACGTCTCTTTTTATTTAGCCAGAGCGGGCATTTGCTCGCTCAGTCGCGCTCACTTTCCGTACATTGTATACGTTACTTTTTTGTCAATCCATTAAGTTGAATTTATTGCCGACTCGTTGAATCAAGGTTCCAATCGCCCCCCTTTTTCTCTTACCCGGCTTTTTATGGCCCGCTATCGAACACATCGAAATACAAATTACCTCCCGTGTAATTATTTTTTCCCGAAACAATCATCATTTAAGGTAGTTGTCGTGCTGCAAGCATACCATCAGAAAACTTTAAATTTTTGTATACTTATTAAGGACATGACAATACATATATCCTTAAAATTTGAAGTCGATTGACCGTCTATAACCCGAGATAAATTCAATTAAAAATTGGATAATTAACATGGATTGTATAGGCTTTCTGTAGTTCTTTACCAGTTTCTTAGTTACCTATACAGAAAAAACTAACTGTCAAAAGCTTTCAAAAACTAACAGTGTTTTAATGTATTTTTGTTGAGTTTAAAAAAAATAATTAAAAATTTTTGACCGTCCAATTGTTTATAAATAACCGTTTAAAGTTCAACAATTTGTAAAAAGTATACATCACTAGTGTCAGATAAAAGCAACTTGGCAAGGCTGTACGCGAGTATAGATATTATTTCCGCAGTTAATTCAAACGGACTGATTCAGTCTCCAATATATCTATTGGTTGAGCAAAAGCGACGTTGCCGGATTAAAACTTATGAAAATATTTGAAAGTATTACGTAAAGGTAACGTCTCCAGGGTACAGTCTTGCGAACAAATTATGAATCACTTAGCTACAAGCTCGTATACTTTTACGGTGCGTATAATCTAAAAATTTTTGACAATATTGTACCACGACAACTACCTTCCGTGACGAATCTGATCGGTTTCGATAAGCAATAAATTAAGTCGAGGAACAAAAGAGTCGATATTATGTTAATGAAACGCGCGCCGCAGCATGTGTCGCTTTTTTACCCCCTGCAATTAACGCGTTAAAAAAACGCATCGATACCCTATCGATGCGAAGGGATGATAAATCATGAGTCAACGCGATTGTTCTACCGGAGTCTCCCCTCGCACAACATTCATTAACCGAAAATAATATTTTTACTTTTTCAATAATTCATCGTGGATGTTTTTTGGGCATGCAAGTAGCTCTCAGACGTGTACGATGCATTATTGACAAGACACGTACGGGCCGCGTTATTACGAATTCATATGCGAACAACAATGGGGACCTGAAATATTCATTCATATTTCGACCTGCTAAATAGCTTCTCTAGCCGCAGTACAATGGGGTAGTTAAATTTTTTCTGACCTATACTTTTTATGGTTTTATTCAAGGCGTTTTGTAATTTTAAACATTTCTGTAAAATCGGAATTTCAATTGAGTTTACCGTTTTCGAGATATTTACAAAAAAAATCTCCTAATTACGTCACTAGGCTATTGACAACGTTGCCACCTTTTTCTATGGTTTTCTATGTTTAGTTTAAGATTCTTACGCCACGTTATAATATTTTAGTTTTAAAACCACTTGATCTATAAGAAGAAGAATTGATTTTTTGACGTTTCTTTTTTTCGGGTTATTTTTTTTTTAAATTTAGATTATTGAAAATCAATTTTATTGTTATGTTATTTGTAATTGATATTAGATAAGTGATTTATTAATAACGGACTCCAAAGCAGAGGAATCTTGTGGAATGGTTGGTTACATTGAACATTGGAGCTTTTAAACAAATAAAGCAAGTACCTATAACTATAATCATATTTTGTCGTAAATGCATTTCATTAGTATAATGCCTAGTTCTTTATATTTTTTTAGATATATCTTGGACTCTAAAATATCAAACAGTAATATGATACCTCGTAATAAGGAAGATATGGTGATATCTGTTTGAATAATTTTAATCAAAATGTCTATTTGTAGACCATGCACTATCTTTACCTACTATGTACGTTATTGCAGCAATATTTAAACCAGAATTGTCGAAAAGTACAAAAATGTACTCTAGAGCGTAGTATCTTCGAACAGTCCAAAAGTTTGTCATACACTTTTTTAATTTACAAAAGGTTTTGATGCTCATCATCATCAGGGATGCAAGTTTTATAAAAACTATACACAAATATCATAAATACCATTGTTAACTTACATTTACTGTTATTTTTTGTAAATTTATTTCATTCATTTTCAGCTTTATTTTGCCACTTTTTTCTATGAAATATATTAAACTCTGCTTTAGATAGTTATTAGGTACCTATTTATTACATTTTATTAGGTTTCACATGGTGTTTCAATGTGTAAACCTATCAATAAAACTTTTAATTTCAGAATTTTTTTTAACCTCCTCTTCTTCTTCTTTCACTCAACTGACAGTGACAGTATTTGTACATAACCTCTTCGCGTATTTTCTGACATAACCGAATGAAATCATTAACAAGACAACTTGACAACAGGGTAATTTTCAACCAATAGAAATCTTAGAATGTTGGTCACATGGCGAGGTTTGTGACGTCATAAAAATTTATATTTTTTGTAAATATCTCGAAAACGGTAAACTCAATTGAAATTCTGATTTCACAGAAATGTTAAATATTACAAAACGCCTTGAATAAAACCATAAAAGGTATAGGTCAGAAAAAATTTAACTACCCCATTAATAATTAAGCAATAAACGTACTAAAACTACATGGACTTAAGTTTAAAAGTGAACTCACCGTTAGCGCCGAACATGGAGTGGTGGACGTACTGGTTCTGCACGCCGAAGTTGGTGTTGTTTCCCAAGGCGTACAGTTGTTGGAACAGCGTTTCGGGGCTCTCCTCTTCGGACTGCTTCTGGTTGTTTCCGACTTGCATGCCGGCCATTTGGAGGAGTTGGAGGTGCGTGTTGTTGTTGAGGTTCTGAGTGGGATTCGTAGTGGAATCGGCGTTCACCGAGCCGGAAGCACCCGGCAGTTGAGGTACCTGGAACTCGTTCTGTTCTTTGTTCTCTCTTTCTTCCTTGAGGCTTTCCAGGTGGAGTCTCACGTTAGCGATGTGGCTTTTGGTGAAGATGTGGTCTTGAATCGAGTATTTGTGCGAGTACTTGAAGTTACAGTACTTGCACTCTTCCGGCATTGGGTCTTTAGCGTCTTCGGGTAGAGGTTCGACGCCCAATAATTTTTGCAAAGCAACCTTACTTTTCTTGTCTTTAGCCCGCGCGTTTTGGAACCAAACTTGGATGACCCGTTTCGGTAGCCCGATGTCGCGACCTAGAGACTCACATTCCGCCATGGTGGGCGTCTTGTAGTCAGCAAACAAAGACTTCATTATTTTGATTTGGTGCGAGGACATCTGGGTACGAAATCGCTTCGTATTCGAGTTGCCTGCGTGTCTTTGCGTGTTACTCTGGGTGCTGCTTGCCGGAGAAGTAGGGTTGCTCTCGTCGTCAAAAAACTCGTTCGTCTCGGACATTGAATCGCTCCTTTCGTCGCACAGAGATCTCTCACTCAGATCGGTAAACGGACCAGGGTCGCACATGTTTCTCTCGTGCTCCATGGATATTTTCATCGGTCTGGATAAATCGACTGGTTTGGATAAATCTAAAGGGATCTCGCCCTCTTCCTTCTCGGATTTCACCTCGGATTTATCGCCGTTCGATGAGGAGGCGTGGGCTTGCAGTTCGCTGATGTAGCGCTTCATGCTGTCTTCGTAATACTTCTTGATCGAACTCTCCATGTCCGGGTTGAGAGCGGGAAACATCGGCGGCATCATATTGGCGTTCTGCTGAAATAACTTGTTGTTATCTCCGGAGCTCAAGCTGGGCGAAGATTCCATGCTGATTTCTTCGTCGGGTAGAGCGTCAATGTTGATTTCACCACGTGCACATTGATCGGCGTGCTTGGTGGTCAAGTGCGATTCTAGTGCTGACTTAACTTTGAACAAGGCCGGGCAAAACGGGCATCTTTTGTTGATCACTTGCGCATGCGCGCGAAATTGACCTTTTCGCTCTCTGGCCCTAGTGTTCTGGAACCAGACTTGCACGACTCTCTTCTTTAGACCGACTTCTCTGGCAATGTTTTCCAACATTTTTCGGGAAGGGTTGCTTTCAATTTGATACTTTTGGTACAAGTAGTCCAATTGTTCGGGTAAAATCGTTGTTCTCAATCGTTTATCTTTCGGTTGGTCGTTGCAAGACGTGTCGCTTTCGGCGTCAAAGTCAATTTCGAGTTTCCTTTTCTGGCCCACGTTGTTCAGCATGTTCAAAAGCGGATGCGATGCCTGAGCGGCGTTTGGAGTAGAGGAAGTGTTGTTCTTCATTTCGTTGCCGAGGTTTGCGTTTAACTGTTGCAACTGAGCGTGTTGCTGGAGGATTCCGAAGGGGGAATCTGGAGGATAAGTGGGGAACAAGTTCGGGTTCATCAAGTGCACCAACTGATGCTCTCTCCACAAGTCGAATCTCGGGAAAACCAAGTTGCATTTGTCGCATTGGAATGAACCTTCTTTGGAATCAGAAGGGGATGGTGACGAAGCTGGATAATTTACACTACCAGGTGTTGGAGTTGTTGGTGGATTAGGCTGCGATGGACTAGGTGCAGAATTTGTCATCGACATATTTTGTTGCTGTTGCGGCTGCTGCTGCTGCTGTAGTTGCTGTTGAGGTTCCACAGTGGTACTAGAGTTCGAATCTTCCGAACTTAACACGGCTGCGATCTGTGCAGCTGCAGCTTGAGCCTGAGCGGATCTCTTAGCGTCTTCTTCCTTGAAACAGTGCGTCTTTTGATGTCTGATGAGTTCGTAATATCTTTGGAAAACTAGCAGACATTTTTTGCATTGGTAGTTCAAGCCGGGGGTTCTTTGAAAACGATTCGCACCGGCTTCCTCTACGCCGGCGGCGGCGGGTGCCTCTACAGCCGGTTGGTTCTCATAGACCTTGCGTGCCTTCTGGCGTGCGTTCTGAAACCACACCACGATCACGCGTGGACTCAAGTTCAACAACTTCGAGAGATATTCTAGATCGTCGTCTTTCGGATAAGCGTTGTTTTCGAAGAACTCCTGCAACACTTTGATTTGGTAGTCGGTGAATCTGGTTCTGTTGGCTCTTTTGCCGGTAGAACCGCCGGAACCTTGGCTCCCGGGGTTGCTGTACTCTCTGCTCGGGCTAAGACAGCGGTTGGGGGTTAAAGGGAGCATACCTTGGAGGTTGTTTGGCGTGTTAAAGCTTTGCTGGTTCATTTTTGGAGGAGGTAGCATGGGACTTGTGAGGCCGTGGTGGGAGGTCATGGCAGGGGTGCTAGTTGTGAGGGTCTCCCCCAACTGAGAAGCGATGATAGAAGTCAGGGTGAGATTGTTCGGAGTGCTCGGCAAAGATACACTTTGATTGTCTGAGCTGGCGACCGAAGTCGCGGGACTTTGAGGGGGTTGTAAATTCGGTGGTAAATTGTACATGTTGTTGGGTTTGTCGTCTAGCATATCGTGCAATTTATCGTCGTGATACTTTGGCTCGTCCATGGGCTCTTCCTTCATCTCGGTTTTAATTTCTTGTTGAATCGGAGGAGGCGGTGAGGCTTTCTCTTGCGTCTCGGTGCTACTTCCGGAGCTGTTTAACGGCATCACTTTTGCCTCGCCGGTTTTTTCGTACTCCTCCAGGTTGAGAGTGGTGGAAGGCGGGTTGTTGAAATTGTACGGGCTGTCTTTATTGCGCTGCCTCTCCTTGAACAGCGTGTTTCTGAACCAGTGTTTTATTACTTTGGGCGGCAGGCCGCTCTGCGTAGCCATCTCATGAATTTGCTCTTCGGACGGTGAATTATTTATGTCGAAGTGAGCACGCAAAATTTTCAACTGGTCGTCGGTGATGCGAGTCCTTGCGCGTTTCTGGTTCGCAGCAGCGTTTACAGCCTGCACAGAAAATAAGAAATGCACCTCTACAACTATGTCGATATTATACAGATTTATACGTTCTCGATCGCGAAACCGTAAATATACGAAGGCTTAATAAATTGTAGCAAATTGGCAATAAATCAATTACGATAATTATCACAATGCAAGGCTACATCGGACAAACAGCAATTAAAATAATCAACCAAGTCGGATCGAGACAAACGCCAATAATTATCAGATTTCTGAATACTTGACGTAACCAACTGCTCTCTGCACATTAAAACTTTATCTCAAAAAAATATTAAATTAATAACATAATAATATTTATTACAAAAGAAACCGCATTACACAAGTGTTATCGCACACACATTACCGTTCATTACAATAACCAAATAAAGTTTTTATTATTTACTTTCGTTTCACAATAAATAATATGATATAACACCGAACGAAATCTATCTATCATAAAAAAATTGTTGGTAATTAACAGATTTATGTAAATATATTACGTTTTGACCAAATAAGCAGTTTGTTACGAGTAAGATTCTTAATTTCTGTAATTATCAGCTGTCTTCATAGCGGAATGAAATTTATAGCATCCATGAAAACGTTATACACCACTCAACACTTATAGATAATAATACGTGGAACCAAAAAAATGCCACGACCGTAATTTAACATTGCCTGAGAATTTAATTGCTGATGTAAATAAAATTTTTGTTTAAACAATAGTTTTTAAGTGTATAAAATATTATTACGTATTCCCACATTATCTAGGTTTCAGCGAGTGTAATTGTTGTAGGTTAAAATAATTAACATGTCCCAGTTATTAAACAAAAATACGAAAAATTTAATATAATTATCTTATATCTCATGACCACCTCATTATGTTATTCAATTAACGTTATTAGTATAAAGTATTTTATCTACTCCACCATTGATAATCTGTAACTTTATGGCGTTTTCGTCACGGGCTGAAGTTAGCAACAGTGGCTTTTAGTCATTTTAGTCACGGGCTGAAGTTAGCTTTAATATTAATTGGGAAAAAGTGATGTTAAATCCGTTGACAGTTGACGTATGTCAAATGTTTAACAAATAAAATTGGCTTTAAAATCTTATTTCTCGTTTTATAAACTTCTTTAGACACTCGTTTTTATTAATAACTCGCTCGCAAGCTTCGCTCGTTCTTAATTAAACTCGTAACTAAAATAGCGTTTACAAAACTTGATACATAATAAGCAAAGCTTCGATTAGGTAAAAACGGTTTTTGTGGAATGCCAAATTCTAGTTTTCACAAAAACTCTTTGTTGCAAATGAACGTTATTGTGTCGAAGATTAAATTACTACCTAGGCTTTTCAAAAATGCAGGTGGTATTTTAAATAATGGATAATTTGGGTTAATTTTATAACTCGTTGTGACCGACGTGTAGGTTCATGTCTAAATACTTTACACAAAAGGCAGGTAATAAAATTCAAAACTATTTATATTAGTTTTTACCTTAGCCAGGCAATTTAAGAACGTATAAAAATATATTTTGTTTAAAATTAAATGAATATTTTGAAAATATTTTATAAAAAAATAGGTGACTTACCGCTTGTTGCTGCATCATGGCTTGCTGTTGTTTGGCCATCATGGCCTGCTGATCCTGCGGTCCGAATTGCGAGATTGGATCGTAGGGAGGCGGCGGCATCATCATTGGCACAAGTGGCGGCTGTAAGTTCATAGCCGCCAACGCGTTCAGGCCCAAAGGCAGACCCATGCTCATCATTTGCATCATGGGATTAAAATTCGATTGAAACTGTTGCATTTGCATCACGCTAAGAGCAGCTTGCATTTCTTGCATTTGCTGTGCCAATGCCATCGGGTTTTGTGACATGTTTTGCGCCATCGTTTGCGCTAGCATGGCCTGTATGTTGGCGGGCAACGAGTCGGTGCTGCTCGCCGGCGTGACTGAGGAGGTGGGTGTCGAGGGGGCGGTGGAAGTTGCCTCCGGCGGCGTCTGCAGGTTCAGCTTGGCGTGCAGCGCCTCTTTGGATTCGTCGTCTTTTTCGGGGGTGGCGCCCTCGGCGGGACTGCTGCTGGAGGCGGCAGTGGTGGTCGGTGCTCCCGGCGTCGACACTCGTGGCATGCTGTTTAGCGTCGAGGACGTCGCCGCCGTCACCACCACGGATTTCTTTTCGTACTCGTTTTTGAACTGTTGAGCATACTTTTCTAAGAATTCTAGTGGCACTAAATCTTTATGAACTTCTTCACAGTGTGACTTTAACACCCACACACTAGAGAACTCTTTATTGCAATGTTGGCACGTGGATTTACTTACTTCGGGTAAGGTGTTTTCTGCCGCTGCGTCCTCCTCGGAGGGAGCTGCTGCACTCGCCTTCTGCTCGTCTTCGATGGATTGCTGCTGCTGCTGCTCCTGCTGCTGCTCCACGACCATTTGCTGGGCCGCCGCGGCAGCAGCCGCTGCCTCGACTTGTGCCTTTTCCTCGGCCTCGCGCTGCAGTTGCTTTTGACGTCTTTGGTGGCTCTCATTGTACTGCATAACTAGGTCGAAACCGAAACTCTCCAGCAAATGCTTATACATGTGTGATCCTGTCTTTTTCGGTATGTTCAATCGCACAACATTTCCACTGTCTTGTTCGCCGGGTGTCGGACTTTTTGCCTGTACTGGCTCTTGCGTAGCTTGAAAGATCGCCATCGGCGACGAGAACATGCAGTATAACTGCTGGTGAGCACTCAACTGCTCTTGTGAACTGAATAGTGCCCCGCACTTTGGACAACCCATCATCCCTTGACTACCTGAGAGAGCTGAGGGGGATGGAGGGGTGCTGGGCGAGGGTTGTTTGTTGTCCCCACTACCTGGCGCTGGGCTCGATTGTTTGGGAGACTGCATGGCTTCTGGCTGTTCAATTAACGGCTTGGACAGGTCAATCTGACCGGCCAATGCCAAGTCTTGCAATTTGCTTGCCCTAGTTTGATGCAAAACGCTTCTCATGTGAATGTCTAACGTACTTCCCTGCGTGTAAGCCACCTTGCAGATGTTACAGCGGTAACGTTTTTTGTCGTCTTCCTCGGACGACGTACTTTTAGGAGTCAATGTCAGATTTTGCGGTTGCGTTCCGCCAGTCACCGGCGAAATTGGCGGGTTATTATTGTTGTTTTGCTGCTCTTGCATGGCCCGTTTCAGCTTGTGCAAGTGACTCACGGAATTGTAATGAACGAGTAGGATGTTTTTCTGCGTAAAACTTTCTTTGCACACATCGCATTTGTACGGCCTGTTCGGATCCAGGTATTTTTCCATGGGGTAACTTAATTTCTCGCCCTTGCGGTGCAAAAGGGTTTTATTGTGAGCGGTGAGATAGCTTTGTCTTGTGAACGCAACTTTGCACCGGTGGCATTTGTATTTTCTATTAGGGTCATTGTAACTGTCCTCGGCGATCGCCTGGCTATTCAGGTAGTCTTCCAAGAATTGCTGATCTTTGTACACGATGCTGTCGTCGGAGTTTTCGCCATCGTTCTGATTGCTATCGTCGTTCGTGGTGTTCAACTCCTTGCTGTCGTCGCACTCGCCAGACTCGGCGTCGTCGTTGCGCAGCGACTCCTTCTTTAGTATGTCGTTGGTAGAACTATCCAATATTTGCCCCTGTAATCCGGCCAACAGCAGCGGATTATTCATCAAGCTTTGCTTGTAAGCGTTCAGCTCTTCGTCGGTCAACTCGGAATGCACGCTTTCGACGTGCTTGTGTAACGCCACCACCGATCTAAAGCTACGGCCGCACAGCACGCACTTGGTCGCGTCTCTGATCATGTGATACTGCGAGTGCAGTTGCAATTTTTCCAGCGTTTTAAAAGCTAGCGAGCATTGGTTGCATCTGTACTTGTAGACGTGCTTCTCCGATACCGACATGTTGGCGATCGAGTTTTTAGCGTGGACCTCTTTGAAATGAGTTTGTAGCGTGTGCGCGGTCGGAAAAAATTGGTTGCAGCCTTTCTTCCAGCACATATACCCCGGACCGCTCGGCGTTTGTTTTATCTCCAAGTGACCGGTCTCGTTTTGATGCAAACACAACTCATCGATGTTTCTGAACGTTTTGAAGCATGTTCCGCAACGTTCGGACTCTCTATCGCCGCTCTCTTCATAGCTGTTGGGCGACATCAAGTCCGGATCTGCTTCTGTGTGGCTGGAATCGCTCTTCTCCAGCTTCAAGTCTTTGGAAGACGCCGACAAGGGCGATACGGTTTGATTTGGGTTAGAAGAGTTGTTGGGCGTTGGAGTTCTCGACGAGTTCGGGTTCAACCAGTGGCTCTGGTCGACGAGCATCAGCAATCTTTGCAAGCCTTCGCTGTTCACCGAGTGAATCTGCATTACGTGCCGTTCTAGGTTGGTTCTGTCTTTAAAAACATCCTGACACAGCGGACAGTGGAATATCTGCTGTTGGGCGTTGGTGCCGTGTTGGGCGAGCACATGGGCCTGTATCCGCATCTCGGAATCGCTGCTGTATTCGCAATAGGGGCACACGTGTTGCGTGCCGCCAACGTCGCCGCTGTTATTTATGTCTTCGTTGTCTTCGCGGGGTTCGCACTTTACTTGCGAAGATTCGTGTTGGCTCAATTCGGAGTTCGTGCTATCCCGGCGTTCTGTATAGAAAAAAAATAAAACAACTCTTAGGATTTTTTTGATGTACTATCGAAATCTTCGGTGTGTGGTGTTAGTATCGAGTAAACACTTTTAATCGCGATCTTTATTTTTGTACGCGCCATGCAATATACCTAATTATAAAATAAACATTCACCACAACTATTGTAATTTAAATTTTTAATAAAGTTAAAAATAATATATTTAGAAAGCATAAAAATAATAATTGAAAAATCCTCTTACCAGTGTTATTAGCGTAAGCAAACATTTTTATAGCTTTAACTTCGTTGCGATTATAATTCATGGAATTCGTCGACGATGTCTTAAATATGCAATACATTAAGAATCTACCTAACTTAAAATTATTGGTAGAGAGAAAACTAATTAAAGAAAATTTACGTCGAGTATTACCTGTTGACAATTTTTTGTCTCGACATGGAGATTAAGAGAACTACTTAATGAAATATTCACAAACATGTACCTCTCTATTTTTGAATTTAATTAGTTTAAATTTAAATTAATGTAAAAAGACAAATTTACAAATTGAGCCAATTAGGCTATTAAAATTGATATTTTCCCTCATTTATCTCGACATTGTTAAGTGTAAATTAGTACAATAATTATTGACTATATTTGTAAAACGCCATCATAATTAAAATAAGTGGGCCTTGTTATTATTTTATAAGGCTTCAATAAATTTTTTCAATGCGGCCCAAATAAATACCTGAAATTAATAAAATTATTGGCAATTTAGTTTTGAAAGAGCAAAGTATTTACCTGAAGAGTGAATACAATAGGCCCGAATAACAAACAGCACGTTTTTTCATTAAAATTGTTACTTTCTTTTAACGGTACCACCATTTAATTGCATTGTTATTACAAGTATTTTTATTAAATAATAAAAACTAAAAGGTTCGTGATACAAATGGGATGAGACTTGACACCCCTGGCATCGCCTAAAGTGTTACGCCATGTGTTCTGCGGATTTTTATTAAATTCCCCATTTATACACGTGTAATTAGGCATTTTCTAGCGGTATCGGGCCCGGTGCAAAGGCGGGGCCCCGATGTCCCCAGGCCTTTGGTAACAATAGAATCTTCCATCGATTGTTCTTATTGTCGCATTTGGTCCGGTGTTTTTAGTAAACCCTTAATCTCCTTTATTACAGGGCGTGCAACAATGCCTTAAAATTCAGCATTTACGTATGAAATAAGAGAGCGATTCTCGGTATTCCTTTGCGATTTGCCTAAGCAACCCGAAGTTTTACTCGCCCGTAATTATTATTATTCTTAACAATGCTAAACAAGCATCAAGGCAGATGGACGCAAACAAATAAGTTTAAGAAGGTAGATTATAATTTGCATATTTTTCATCGGGGATTAACGAAATAATCGATGTGTGAATTATAAACTAACACCACACGGTTTCGTATTAAATTAATTTGATTAGAAAGTATGATATGATATTAGTGTTTCAAAAAAATCGACTTTTTCTTTTTCTTCAAATGGTCAGCAAATTCTTTCAGAGGATGTCAAAACAAAGAGCTCGTTAAAATTTGAGCTTTTAATTTGAAGATTTAGAGGTCGCGGATCGCAATTTTCTATTTCCCATTTAAATAACATAGGAATTTTTTTTTAACTTTGGAATTTTATACGTCTATATCGAATCAACTTATGGCAAGGAATATCTTAGATTTTTATAGTAAATTTAACGCTCTATAAAAAATGTCTCTTAGAATTTTTCTATAAATTGATTTCTTCCAGAGTTATTCGAGGCCAAAGTTTGATTTCCATCGAATTTTCTCGTTTTTTCAACTTTTAGCATCATGTAGTAAAAAAATCACATATTTATATCTGAAACATAGGAAGTGTTGTAAAAAAACAAAAAAAACAAAAAAATTTCACTTTTTTCCAAAGCCTACTACAAAGTTTTAATGAAAATTTGAGATGTGTATAATATGCAGAGTAATTTATATATAAATGCATTTTTCTCGAAAATGGTGCATCTGAGCAATTCAAATCAAGAGTACCTATTTTTCCTAAAAAACTATAAATTCTCATAATTTTATAAAAAAAATTAAATTATTAACCCAGAAAAAAGTTGGGGCTATTTTTGTAACTTTGCCCCCTCCAAATGTTACGCCTATGATTAAATTTTAAAAGTTTTGATCATAATGTCAAAATTACCAAAGTACCAAAAATTCATTTGTTCATGTTCAACCCTCTAGGAATAGTTTTAAAAAAATTATCCTCTTAGGCTCCTATTCAGGGGGCCGTAGCTCCTTTAGGGAGCATTTTTTGATACATGTTTATTAAACAAAAAAAGTGTTATTTTTATACGAATAATGCACTGTTTAAGTTTGGCCCCCTAATTTCGGGACACCCGTATAAATAAATGTTAAAAAAACGCGAATATTCGATGGAAATCAAACTTTGGCCTCGAATAATTCTGGAAGGAATCAATTTATAGAAAAATGATAGGAGACCTTTTTTGTAGAGCGTTAAATTTACTATGAAAATCTAAGAAGAACCTTGACATAAGTTGATTCGATTCAGACGTATAAAGTTAAAAAAAATTCCCATGTTATTTAAATGGGAAATAGAAAATTGCGATCCGAGACCTCTAAATCTTCAAATTAAAAGCTCAAATTTTGACGAGGTCTTTGTGTTGACATCCTCTGAAAGAATTTGGCGACCATTTGAAGAAAAAGAAAAAGTCGATTTTTTTGAAACACCCTAATATGATATACTATACTAGCGATATACTATGATTGTCACTAACCTGGCTTCATCTGTTGCTGATCGATGGGACCAGGCACGACATGGAAAACCTCTCCGATTTCCGGTTGAGTTTCCTTGCCTTCGGCGCGCCTTTGCAGCTGGTGAAGCTGCTCCATGTGCAAGTGCTTGAGAGATCTTACGTGCTGGAGGAGAGGTAGTCGGTTCGTGGCGGAAAATCCGCACAGCGAGCAGTGGAACACTCTGGCTTGATCTTGCCTTAAAGCGCAGCACCGTTCGACGAGGTGCCTGAGCAGAGCGACGCCCGCGTCGTGACGACCGGCCGCCGCGTGCAGCTGCAGCTTGTGCGCAGAGTTGGTGTAGTAATCGCAGGCGTTGCAGCGGATCTGCACGCCGCCGGGCGCCGAGGCGTACTTCAGCTTCCACTCGTTACGCGGGCCGCCCTCCTTCACGTGGTTCACGTGCTGCAGCCTCTGCAGATGCTTGTCGGTCTTGCAGTGCAGCTGAAAGTTCGCTTTCAGGTTGGTTTTGTACGTGCACAGCTTGCAGACGTAGTGGCCGGCCACGACGGCGAGGATTTCCTGCTCCCGCAGCCGCGTGCGGTCCTGCGCCAAGTGCCTGCCCAGCTCCTCCAGGCTGTCCGTGGCGAAGATGTTGCACACGCAGCACTGGTACGTCTTCTCCGGGTCCGGGTCCGCCGGTTCCGGCGGGGGTTCCATGGTTTCCGGGTTGAGACCCATGTCGGAGTGCGAGCCCATGTCCGCGGGGCCCGCGTGTCCGGGCAACTGTCCGCCCGTCATCATCTGTATGAGGAGAGCCTGGTTGTAAGCCATGTCCGCCAGGGCGGCCTCGGGTTTGTCGCCCAACGAAGGGTACATCCCGTAGGGGAGCTCCATGTGTTGCTGGGGGTGTTGCTGGTGGTGCAACGCCGACAACGTCTGCATGTGTTTGACGTTTTGTTGCAGTACCAACATGTTGTGTGTGTGTTTTTCCGAGGTCATGTGGATCCTGAGATTTCTGGCGACGTTCGTCTCGTAGTTGCACACGTCGCATCTAAAGCTGGGTTTAGGTTTGTGTCCGCTGGAAACTGGCGAGTGGTGCAGCGGCGGCGCTTTCGGCGACGCCTGTCTCGACTCGCTGCTCGGCGCACCGCCGTTCTGCAATTCCTGCATGTTGTTGAGATGCTTGTCGGACTGCATATGTATACTAAGGTTGCCTTTGGTTGTCGTCGAGTAGTTGCACACCTCGCAGCGATAAGGTTTGTAGCCGCAGGTGTAGGTCTCGCCTCGGGCTAACCGCGGATGCGGCTGTCCAGCTATACAATAAATACAACTAGTCTCAGCCTCGGGGTGCTTCTCTTTCATGTGTATTTCGAGGGTTTCTTGGTATTTGTAGTGCCAGTTGCACTTGGGGCATTTAAGCGTTTTGCAGGAGTTTCTGCTGTGCACGTTGGCGAGGCCCGCCGGTCCCAGGCGTCCCGACGCCAAGATCATTTCGCAGCGGGCGCACTCGACGCCCGAAGGCCTTCCTTGCAGATGCTCCGGACAGACACCTATCGTGGTGCCAGTCATGAAGGCAGGTGGAGGTGCGAACGGAGGCGAAGGAGATTTTCCCGGGGTGTTCCGGGACGAGGAACACGGCGGCGTTTCGGAAGTGGGCGAGGGTCCTTCGTTGCGATGCTGCTGCTGCTGCTGATGCTGCTGCAGCTGGTGGTGGCTTTGTACGGAGCTAACAGGAACTATTTGAGAGTTGGAGTGGATTTCGTGCTGCGTGTTGCCCAGCGGTTCCAGGAGGGAGACCATGGGTCTCTTGTCGGCGCCGACGCACTGCAGTATCGCCGAACAGTCTGCCGCCAACACTTCGCGTTCGTTATCTTTGAGGGTGACGCCGTGCTCGGACTGTGCGTGGCTGGCGAAGGATCGCGCGAACCCGAAGGACAACTTGCACACGAAGCACATGAGGATGGGTTTGACTGGCACGGATGCGGGCCTCGGAGGTCGAGGAGCGTCTCTCAATGCGATGACTCGGTACGAGTGCACGGCCGGCAGCTCCGTGGGCCGGGCGGGCTGGCGGAGCAGCCGCGACACGTACACCGCCTGCAAGGGGGGCACTATTTCCGGCACGGCGGTGTTGCTCTGCCCTTGGACGCTTTCGCTGTCGCTTTCCGAGTCTTCGATGATGTAGGCCGATCCGTCCGGGTTGTACACGATCTTCCCGGCGAACTGCTCCACGTCCGAGTTCGTGTTGGTGTCCTGTTGAGAGAGCGACATGGCGGGCGATGGAAAACGCGTCGGAGGCGGAGGCGGCGGCGATGCTCCCGGTGCTGCTGGGGGAGGGCTTGCCTCTTGCTCAGGGCTCATGTCTGACAAGATGCCCCCGGGTGCAGATGCTGCTGCTTTCTGCCGCTCGTTGGGGCCGCCACTGCTTAGCTCAGGCGCCGCAGACAGAGTGGGCATCGCGGCGCATCACATGTTCGTCGCCAACTGGACGCCCTGAAACAAAACAAATTATCAATTTAAATTGGGATACGCATATCGAAAACTTAGTGTCAAGATTAAATGGAGTATGTTATGCAATGCGAATACTTAAAAATTATGTCAATGTGGATACTATGAGAACGGTATATTTTGCAAACTTCCAAAGTCTCTTAAGATATGGTTTGATATTCTGGGGCCAAGGACGTAACACATTATCTGTTTTCAGAGTTCAAAAAAGATTGATACGCATCATATGCAACTTAAAATTATCAGAATCTTGCAGAACACACTTCAAAAGCAACCATGCCTTGACACTGGTTGGTCTATATATATGAATTAGTTTTGTTTTTGGTAAAAAATTATAACAAATTTGAATCACTTCAAACTGTTTTACATAGAAACTCAAACTTAAATTTTCCTAGGCATAAATTAACAAAGTATGAGAAAAGCTGCCATTATGCAGCCATTAAATATTATAATAAAATACCTCATCATATAAAATCTTCAAAAACCTTAAAAATCAAAAATGAACTTTTCAACTATATTTGTACCAAAGAGCCCTATACGTTAGCAGAGTTTTAAGTATATTGTATTATTGTTCTTACACTTGTGGTATATTCCATTTTATTATTTATGTTTGACTTTTTCTGCATACTGTTGTTATACACATACATATATACTAGGGTTTTTCATTTAAAACGAAATTTTTTTTTTCTTGCTGACACATGAAAATTTTGTTTTTTAGGTTAAAAAAAATTCCCTGAAAATTTGAGCCCTTAACTTTTATTCTAAGTACTTCCTTTTTAATTTTGTAGTTTTTCCATATAAAAAGCATGTATTTTTAATCATTTTTACTTTAAATTTCTATATGTTGGCCGGGTTTTTAATTATTATTTTTATCACCATAATTTTGTGCAGTATTCACGGTTTTTGAAAGGCCCTGCATCAATTTTGTTTTTGATTTATTTACGTTGATTGTAGTAGCTCCAAAAGTCGTTTTTTCACTTTTTCTCACATATTTTTGAGAAAATCGAGCGAATGACTGGTTTTACCGAAAAAGTTCAAATAAAAAAGTTGTAAGAAATTTAATTTTTGACAAAAAAGGTTCTCACGTTCATATCACTAAAGTGCTTTGTTTAATATATATAATTTTTTAATCAAATGCTTCACATAAAAGAGTATTTATTGCTTAAAGAAAAAAGTTCTTAGTGTACTATAGTTCTCTTGAAAACAAATACAAAATCTCTTTTTCGCCATTTTCTAGGGGCAGTGATATAATATTATAATTCTATTATAGGTGTTTCTAATATACATTTTGCCGGTTGTGTTGTGTTGTGTTCTGGCGTGTTGTATGTACTTTCACAGTGTTGGAATCATTAAAACTCTTTTTAAATAAATGAAATTTAGTTAATTTGTTTAATATTTTATGCAAATATAGTTCCTGAATCTTTTGAATCAAAGTGATTTTAATTTCTTCTAAATGAATATTTTTTTCAGTGTACAGATTTTTTTAATCATACATTGTGAATAAACGAAATTTGTGGTAACTTTCTACTACTTAATAAATTATTAATTAATATTTATTTTTAATTTTTATGACATCAAAAATCATGGGCTCACTTGTCAAATTTCTACTCAGTTATAAAATAATAAAAACACTTAGTTGTTTGTACTATAAACCGACCCCCTAATTTGAAACCATCAAACCAATTAAAATATATCACGATTATTAAATATTTAAGAAACGGACCTGCAGACGAAATTGTTATTTAAAAGTTAGGTACCAATTTTGTGGAGGATTCAGAGGAAAAAAATTATAATTAACCGTAATTTCGATTATAAGTGAGGGTAGGGTATTTATAGGCGCCTTAGTCAGCGGACCAAAACGTTTCTGATGATGTCTATCTGTGAAAGAGCCGCAGATAAAATACCTGAGCGAGTGCGGTACTTGTAATTACTAATTCCCACACCACGTTCGACTAATCACGGCAATAATTACGGCCTTTTTCTTCTTCACTTTGTATTTTAATTTCGTACCTATTTTTCCTCTCATCATTTCTCACGATTGATTTCTTTTATTTCTCCCCATCTCGCGATACACACGAAATGCTAATATTTGACCGGCCGGTCGATCTAATTGGTTAATTACCGCGAAACATTTTAAAATATAGCGTGCATTCTTAGAGAAAGAATGCTGCAAGATTATTGGTCCCGTCTATGAGAAACATTCGATATATTTTGTGATTCTCGTGAATTTTAATTTTTAATTACGACGAAGGTATGTGTGCACTGTCAAGAGATAAATTGTGGTACAAATGGTAATTTGTTTGGAAAAATTATCGCTCTAATTATGTGGCATAATTTATGTTCACATATAGTTCTAATATAATCGTTTTAACTATAAATAAAGAAATTAAAAAAGGATAATGTCGGTAAATTATCGGCTGATTTTAGCTGTTGGCTAAACAGATTTGCAATCTACAAGATGTTACAGTGTACAGCATGGATTAATTCTAGATTATTTGCGTGTGGAATATAATTTTTGGATTTAATATTCAGATGCCAATATTGTTCGGAAGAAACAGCTCGTGTTTAGTATGGCTTGAATATTTAACCACTAGATTATTCCTGATTACATTGCCTGAAGATATCAATTACATAGATCGTTATTCCAAACTAAAAACAGAATACTTAATGCTCTTATTTTCTAAGAACAAAGGAATGTTTAAATACTACATCACATCGTAACCTAAACGCTCATTCCAGTTATTAAACTCTTTTCCCTTTAAAATTAAACGATTTATTGGCTGACTGATACCGCACTAAATTATACGCGAGATATAATAATAATACACCTTTAAAACACTTTGCTTTGATATTTATGTAAACATTTATACCTCTCGTAATATTATTATTACTATTACAAATTATCTCGATTTCTCTTGCCAAAGTCTTATCAATTTATTTATTCACTAAATGCATCCATATTATTTTTCACTATTTGTTTACTTAAAATTTAAATTACAAATAATTTACGTGAGAATCGATCATTATTTAATTTCACACATTGATAAGGCTCCGATGCAATCCAATGCAATGCAATCTTTTATAATTATAAAAAATAAGATTTGCATTTCCTTATTTTGATTAGATTATGACGAAAAACATTTTGAACTATAAAACCGTTGATTTGAGTAAATTGGCGCAGTCAATGGGATTTGAAGATATTTAAAAGTACGTATACGTATACATACCAAAACTAAGCAATAAAAAATTGATGGGCACAGTGATTGAAATAAAAATTCCATTACACATGGCTCCCCGGCGTTACATTTATTATTGATGTTATATTAAAACAGGAACCAGAGGAAAGAACGGAAATAATAAGAAAATATTTCTTATTAAAGTGGGTGTAGGTATGTGTATGATGAGGAACGAGGCATGGGCGTTTCCTAACTTCATTTAGCTTCATGCATAACTTATGTATGTTGCTTTATAAAGGTATACGTAGCAATATTTTTGGTTGGTTGGTTGGGTAAAAACTGTTCTATTCATGATGTGAATAAGCAACAAAATAATTATTGTAAAACTTGTTTTCCTCTCCTACTTATAAAACGCTCATTATTGTTATTATACGCATTAAAAATTTTGAGTGGAGTACCATTAAAAACATCCTCTTCACTTTCACTGTGAAAAACTGCCTTTATATCGGATTTAAACGGTTTTTAGTCCATTTTCAAGTGAAAATTTCGATTTCACACGTGAATTCGATAAAAACTAACACTGACATTTTAAAAGCTGATAAAACAGATTCCTAACACCAATTTTGGTTAATCTATTTTTGTAGGTGTAAATAGTTAAATAAATTAGTAATTAATTATTATTTATTATTATACAGGGTGTTTCAGATTTTATTCATGAAAATTTGGTAGTCAATAGAACTCCCAAAAATAAGAGGAAAATTTTATATAAAGGTTCGCTCGTGCCTCATTAAAAATTAATAAGTCAAAAATACCATTGTTAACCATGGGATACCATGGTATTCCCAATATTTAACAGCCAATTCTTATGTAAAATTGTCCCCTGAATCCGAAAATACCGTCAAAATTTAACTTTTAATGACATTTTCATATTCTGGGGACAATTTTACATGGAAATTGACTGCTAAATGTTCGCTATTGACGAGAATTAATATTTTTTAGAGATTTGATATTTTATATACTATTATTTAGCACTATTTCACAGTAAACAAAAAATTAAGAATAGGATTAACAAAACAAAATGAATATTCCATATTAGAATCAAGGATCAAGTTGTTAATAATAGACAAAAAATATTATCTGATAATTCAACTGCCCAAGTCAAAATTTAAATCGTAATTTAAACCTACTTTGACCTACCAAAACTGATTTAAAACCTGTTCAGTCTGTTTACTCCAATTTAGCACTAGAACAACCGAATTAATCTTCATTTGAACCGATTTAAACCGATTTAAACCTCTAATACAATTTTTGGTTTAAATTTAAACGTAATTAGAACCGAAAAATCGGGAAAATGGACTTATCTGCCATGTTTTAGGTCATAAGTTGGTTATCTTTAGGCGAATATAAAACCGTTTAAGACGGAAATTGTCAGACTTAAGGTTTAAATTACGATCTTAATTTTGACTCGGGTAATTTTTGATTCCAAACTAAACGTACGAAACTGTCAAATGTTACTAAATTATGCCTTAAGCTCGTTCCACAATTATTATCGTAGAAACCGGCTTACGTCTTATGTCAAACCAACCAGAGGGCTTGTTAAGTCTGATTTATAGATTGCCTTCCTGTTCATCTTCTACGGGAGAAAGGAAGGAAGGCAGTCTATAAATCAGGCTTTATACAGAACAAGTGATTGGTTTGACGTAAGACGTAAGCCGGCTTCTGCGAACATTGTAGACATATGTAAATAATACACAACACATATTCTCTAATTGATAG